CGTTTATAATATACTGCATCACACTTTCGTTCCGCATGCAATCGAAACAGTATCTTATTCTCGTTTCGAGCGAATATTTTAGCTGTCACAATTATATTATAAAACTCGAACACGACAACAATATTCGTGATCCATGCTAAAGTGTTTACATTTTATCAACTAGACAGGCAGTGATTTAAATTTGTGTGTATAGATATACGTACGCATTACTCAGGTTTTGCTATGCTTCAAAAACCGTAAATAAATTTCATTTTTTATTACAGATATAATAATACTTACGTTTACGATAGAAGAAAACAAAAAGTTATTTTCGAAAACGTAGCATTATAATCACTAACTGCAGAAAGCGGACATGTCCATAAAATCAAATTCTACAGGAGGTACAAAAAACTAGCGCATGCTCTGGATTTGTCTACTTTCTGCACCAAACACTAACTTTAGCGGCTGATTTTTCTATTACGGTTTGATGATTTAGCCCTATTCTTAGACAAAATATGTATTTAAGGTAGATAAATACAAATCGGGTGGTAATTAAATTTCATCAAAAAGTAGGCATGTCCCCTTTCCGCAATTAGTGATTATATTGAAGTGTTGTCCTTTCAGTATTTATATTATAATATACTTTTACCTCCAGTCATTGCAGCTACAGATGATGGTTGCAATAGGTTGAAGTACGTTTGAAGTAATAAATATATTTTATTTTCGAGAAACTTAATAAAAAAAATGTCGATTAAAAATTATGTGTTACTAAGTACATTTTAAGTACTTAGTTTCAATAACAAAATGTTTCGCGTCAATATTATTATTTTTTTTTCCCTTTTTTTTGTTAAATCTTATTTGATTTTAGCGTACAGTTTATTACTTATAATATATACTCGTATTTTTTAATAGTATTTCAATTGACCGAGAAATTAAAATTCATGCAAATGTAAACGCAAATCTAGTTTTTTCGTAACACGTTAGTATCGTTTCCGTTAAACGACTAAATATTAAAAACCCGTCGGAAAATCAAAACATAACCTTTTTAATACACCAAACAGATATAATGTCCTTTTAGAAAAGGATACACTTGGATGCATTGGAGTCAGTTTTCTTTTCGAAAAGTTATTCACAGACAAAAAAAAACACACACAGCATAGTAAAACCAATAGATCCTTCACTCCCCACCGAATCTAAAATATTATAGAACTATTATATTTCTAACGATATTATATCATAAAATCAAAAAAACTATGTCCGTTATTGATTAATCAAATATTATTCGTAATGTTACAACAAAAAAACGACACTCTTGTATACTCGTATTATCATTATATCGTTAACTCGCAACAGTGTATCATGGTAATTAATTTATAATCATTATTGTCACACAATAAATCGATTTTTATTTTCATCAATGGAATAAAAATTAAAAAAAAAAAAAAAACAACGTACGTAAGTAATAATACTGAAAAAAAATAAAAAAATCATTTCGCATGAATAGAGCGAGTTTTTTTTTTTTTTGCGATACATTGTTACAGTAATATCGGTTGTATACATACTGCTACGATGACGAGGATTCGATGTATAATATTTACAGGCAACAGAGTCGAATGGACAGGAAATATTTGCGGATAGGTACGCTGAGAGAAATAATATTCTCGACCGCACTCAATACCTGATATTATCGTGTGCGACCGCTGCGGCAGATGTCATACACACATCAGGTACACTCGCACGCGTTGTTACGAAGACACGTGGGTAGGTATAAACGGAGAAATCGAGAAAACACACTGAATTCGATCGGTTTTTTTTTTTATGTACGAACGGTAACGAATAATTAGTACCTGTAGGTCGGTAGATGAAACTCGGCAATTATTATCATTATTGTTATCGCGTGTGTTTCCTCGCGTCGCGGAATTTTGGAAAACGGTAATACACCATATTATACCACCACATACCAACCACACACATCTGCGAAAACGATGACGAAACAATTTAACGATCCGTAATGGAAAAAGTAAATCCTACTAATAATATAATACAATATTATATTGTGATATTCGTTTTCTTCCGGAATAATATACTTTTACCGGCGCGGCGGTTATAGGAGAGAACTATCGGAGTTTTTTTTTTTTTTTTTTGTTGTTGTTGTTGTCATCACGGACTATAAAATTTAACTACAATATAATAACCAAAGACCTTATATACACTGTGGAAATCATTTGTATTGTTGTCCATTATCTACAATTCGAATAGTCCAAAAGACTCCGCCCGCCAATGAACGCAGTCTGGCATGCAGTATAATCGATTTGTTGAGAAATATAATTTGCTGTGACTCTCGCTAACGATATTCAGGGACCGCGAACGCCACGTTTAAAAGATTCGTCATAATCGTTTGCTATCGATAAAACAGAAATGTTTAATGTGTTTTGTTTTTTTAATCTTGTCCCGCAGCTTACACTCAGAACGGCCTAAAATAGTGTGTTTTAGGGCAAAAAATTACGTGCAGCTCGAAATTTCAGCGTGTTGGAAACAAATTTGTGCTCAAGAAAGGACGCTAAAAGAACAGTGTCCCAGGGCGCCGAAAATTTAAATACGTCTCTGTAACAGCTCGACATCGATACTGTACATAATCGTTATTGTAGTATGATAATAGGATATTATAATTTGATTTACTATACGATACTCTCCAATCGACTCGAGAAAAACACCGTACACCGTAACGCCACCGAAATAATGTTGTCGATGTGCGTGTGTCGCGCGAAGAAATTGAGAGTATATTACGCAAACGGCTTATATCTATTTATCCGAATTATTATTGTAGAAAATTGACGGTTATAATTGAATTCGTGTACGGTTTATATAACGACAGATTTTAGTTTTAGCAATGTTTAAACGATGGCCTCTAGAAAACTTTTTAAGACGCACGTAGTGATGTCTCCGTATTGGCAAATTCGCATTCGACGGGAACGAATTAATGCTGTTGGTTTTAACACTAGAGTGAATTGACCTATCATCAAACTTGAAAGTAAGGACGTTGTCCGTGTAGTTGTTTTTTGAGATATAATGAGAGTTTTTAAATTGTGATAATTCACGTACCCGTAACTCGCTTGAAAATTAAAATATCGAGAAAAAAATAAAGGAGTTGCACGGAAAATTTCAATTTTCTTATCTTTAAGTTTGATAATAGGTCATTTCACTTTAATTTAAAAACTCACAACACAAAGTAGTTCCTGCTGAACGTACATTTCTTATGCTGTATGAGACAGCAAATACCGTCATACTCGGGTTTAATATTTTGAAATTACTCATATTTATTGAAAGTAAAATAACGTCTTAAGGTTAGGCCGGATATCGTATTATTATTATTATGATTACCAAAACGAGTATGGTAAACGGACGTAAAAAAAACGTACGTAGTGTTTTTTTATTTAAATTTATGACCATAGAGTTATTGCTTCTAAAATCTATATTTATTTTGTTTTTATGATTAAATTTACCTATGATGCTAGCACTTATTTTATTTATAGCGCGTTTCTATTTCTATACATTATATTATATAGCTGACATAATAAACCATATCAAACTTCGGAAAACGCGTTTTTTTTTATAAAAAATAATTTTGTCGTAAAGAAGACGGTAATGAAAATAAAATGAAATAATAAAACCAGTTGGGGTGTAGTCAAATTGCATTTTACACAGACATTTGAAACGGTCGAATTGCACTCGAATCAATAACAGGTAACGGTCGATCCGTATTACCGTCAAAAAAGTGATATTTGAAGAAAAAAAACTCTACTTAAAAGTTTTGAAAACAAACTTCGCCAATTTGAATTTAAAATACTTAAATCGAAATAAATTTTACTAAGTAAATTGTTAAGTTTATGTATTGAATTTCTACAAAAAATAATTGTGATTAAATAATATAATAATAGTTTGAATGTTTGGAGAAAAAAAAGATTTTTTAATAACATAATATTTAAAATAGCTCATTTTTAACCAATGATTGAATTATAAGTAGAAAACATTAATGACATTTTAAACAAAGTTTTTTTTTCTAATATGTTTGTCGAAACATCGTTTTTGACCTAAGTTTATTCATTACTGGGTTTTTTTTTTTTTTAACTTAAATGCAACTCGACTAAAATAAGTGACTTTACCCAACCTGTGATCAGACCATCGACGAAAAAAACGGAAACACACTTTATGATAAAACTGACGATAAAATCGAATAACTCCGCACGTATTCCAAGAGACTTCACAGCTGCAGTGCAGACGACCGGACACTTTCTTCGGAGTTTCGGTTTTTTTTTTTTTGGACGGGTTTCTATATAGTTTTTGACGATATATTATCGCGAGTACCCGGGTCGACCACGAAATATTATTAAAATTTTTTTTTCGATCGTAAGACAAACGAAAACGATTTCAATATAGTCGTACGGAAAATAAAACCGAACCCGTCGGCCGATCTACAGGTACTTACAACAGGTGTACGCGATCGCTACAATCGACGACGAATGTCTCGGACCCCGAGCGCCGGTGTTCGATTTGCGAAACGTTGTGAATAAAAAAAAAAAATAAATATGTTAAAAGGATTGGTACCCGCCATACCGGGACCCGCCATTACAGCGAACGTTATGGGCAGACCTGTCCGGACGATTGCGCGGGCATAGAGAGTCGCGTAGAGAGCGAGAGAACGAGAGAAAACGACGGAGAGAGAACGACGGAGAAAAGGCAGTAGAAGAAGGGGAGGGAGGAGAAGAAATTTCGAGAGAGAGACGCCGCGCAGGTGAAAGAGACGGGGTAGGGAGGGGTGCGGGGAAGAGGGATGAGGAAAGTAGAAAGAACCGCGCCGTCCGTACATCCGTTTCCGAACACGAACCCTATATCGGCCAAGGCTGAGTCCGGCGTGTCCAGACGGTTCGCCCCCACCAACCGGGCGGCGACGACGCGCGCTCGTTCCGGCGGCCGCGGCGGTGGCGCGCCGGTCGAAAAAACAGGTGGAAACGCAGTCGAATAAAAGACAACTAACTCGGCAAACGATAGATCAGTGTACTCGCTTTTGTTCACCGGTAAACACACCAGTGAAACTACAATAATAAATAAATACACATTTTTCATATTATTATATTATTCGATATAATATTTATACGCCTTACTTGCCCGTGTCTGCCGGTGAAGTCGTGCTAATCACACTTACCCGTAATATACCGCGATCGAACGAACCGACCAAATGATGAGGAAACTTGCGTTCGCGGCGTGTATGCTGTTGGTGGCGGCTCAAGCCGCGTACGGTCACCCGACGGCCGAGGAGATGCCCGCCGCCGAGGAAGTCGTCGGCTTGGACAAAGTCTACAAGGTCATGCAAGAGTGTTCCGAGAAGAACATGGTCACCTGCCTGAAAATGAGAGCTTTGCAGTACGTCGACCGGGCACTCCGCAAATCCGACGACATTGATGTATTTGAAGGCATCACCCTGGTCAAATCCGAGTCGGTCGAGTCCAGCCGGGGCCTGAACGGCCGTTCGCTGTCCGAATCCGAAGTCGACGAAACCCCGGCCAAGGACGAAGACGAGAAGGACGCCCAGGTCGAGAACCTCTTGTTGGACCGCGTCGCCCGATTCTTGGAAAGCCACACCCTTCAACTCAAGGTCCCCGAATCGTCCATCTCCGACATGAGGAGGTCTCTCGATGAAGGTACGAACCGACATCCGTTTTCTTTTTAATATTTATTTTATACGCGTTCCGCGTGGGGCGGGAACTCGACGCTTTTCAAATTCGTTTGAATTTTTTCTCTCTTTCGCTATTCGATTTCCGAATTTTTCCACCATTACGCTATTGAACACGTGCGTGGGCGTCCGTAACGGTTCGGTAGTGCTAAAACATACGCACACACACACGCGCGCACGCGCACACGAGCGCGCATAAACACGTGCGGCGCGTCAACACGTCACGATTAGCCCGATTGTGTCGAATATTATCGTGTGAAAATTCAGAAAAAAAAAAAAAAAACAACAACAACAATACAAATTCATTCCGTCGTAGATTTACGGCGATTTTTTTCCGGGCTCGGCACATCGCGGTATCCGCCGGGGGCGACCCACGATAGCGATGCCGTAATTTCATGTTGTTTTTAAAAACCGTCCGCGACAAGCGCGCGTGGTCACCGTTTTCCGGTAATCGCGATACAATAACAATTGTCGACCGGCGGCGGGCAAAGCGCGGTGTCGTTCGTTGGCGCGCGCCGTCGACTCGTCCCCGGGGCGCCGCCACGGAGCGAAACGCAAGAAAACGGCTGGCGCGACGACAGTAATAACATCTCTGTGTATTGTCGTAATGATAATATTATATTTTTATCGTATTAATAATAATATGTGTTTGATTGCACGGTCGTCGGTGGTCCGCGGGTTCAACGCCGCCGCCGCCACCGCCGGGGGGGCTCCCGCGTACGGGCGTGACGCGGCCGCCGCGGAGAAAGCGGCGCGCGATCCTTTCACTAGAAAACTCCGCCGGCGGCGTTCCGACAACGTCTCGCGGGCTCGAAACCGAAAGGCCGTCGCGTCCGACCCTATTACAGGAATAAAAGAAATATTATATTTTCAATGTCGCGCGTTGACGATATTACAATCATAACGTTACCAGATGTCACCACGATAATATTTCGTCTTCGACACCCGCGCGCGGCGTGTTCACGGTTCTCATTATTTTTCTCTCTATTATATTTTACAGCCCGCGGCAAGAAGAAGAAGAACCAGAAGATGCTCTTGCCCCTGCTGATGTTGTTGAAAATGAAGGCCATCGCCCTCGTCCCCCTGGCCATCGGTGCCCTCGCCCTATTGGCGTTCAAGGCTCTCGTCGTCGGCAAGCTCGCCCTCGTCCTGGCCGTCATCATCGGCATCCAAAAACTGTTGGCTAACAAGTCGCACCCGCCGTCGTACGAGGTCGTCTCGCACCCGCACTACACCGAGGAACACGGTCACCACAGCAGCGGTTACGGACGATCCCTCCAGGAGTCCGGCGCACAGGAAATGGCGTACCGCGGCCAACACTGACCCTCCGATCCTTCGAACTCCCCTCCCCCCCCAAAACCCCTCCCCTCTCCCAGACGTTTTCGCCGTCATCCCGGACACACTAGTAGGTGATATCTATTTATCGTTTGTAAATAGTATTCGAAAAGTATTACATTCCCCGGCGACGATGACGGCGACGTATAATTTATTTTATAAATATATATTATTTTTGTTTTTTTTAAATTATTACTGCAATCTCTTTTTCTTTCAACCGCCCGTCTCGACTTCTCGGCGCCCCCTTCGGCGGCCTTCTCCTCCCTACCGATAGCGACGACAACTTACTGCTTTACAACGCCGAACCATACGCATCACACGCACACGCGCGCGCGCGCGCGCACGTAAACATCAAACGATACCTATACCGACGACGGCCCCGGCGGCCAATAATAACGGGTCCCGAACCAATCGCCACGGGACAATGACCGCCGTCGCGGTCGCTCCGCGCCGAAGTTTTACGCGCCGACCACGCGCGGCCGTCGCAGCGCATTGTCGCGTTCGGAAACCCCCCCGGGCGGTCGGCCCGTCGAGCACATATGCACACAGAAGTCGTCGGTCTAGTGACACACTGCGCGCCGCGCGCTTATATAGGTCGACCCGGAGCGAGAGGGGAAAATAGAATAAAAACGATTTCCGAAACTGGTTTCCGAACTATATAAAACGCTCTCGACGAATAGAAACCATACACATTATTAGAAATCTATATAATTTTTTTTTTTTTTCCGTATTTCTACCGCGCCGCCCACCTTGACCTTCTCACCGCTCGGCGATCTTTTCGTATGCTTAACCGATCGCGACTACCGGTTCTCGACGGGACTCGTATTCTCCTCTTTTCCGTCGCGCATAAACGACGAGCGGACCGTACGTGGAAACAAAAAAAAAAATAATAATAATAAAAAAAAAACTAGTTCGATTAGCCGCTCCCGGCTTCAGCTCCTTTTCCGCCGTTTCGCAAACACAACACGCGCACACGCATTTAGCAAGCAAAACTCCGTACGTCATACACAACGACCGACCAAAGACTATGATTTTTACCCGACCCGGAAACGTATCGCTCACCGGCCCATAATAATATTACGTTGTTGTATTTATTATTGATTTTTGTATTGTTTTAGTTTTTTTTTTTTTTTTTACCATTTCGTACTTTTATATCGAAACGAGCACACCGCGAAGACTTATGTACATAACAGTCGTTAGATACATATTATTATTATTATACTGTGCGTACCAATGTGTACAATCGAATAAAAACGATTTGATTTCAGTTATACTGTATCACTTTAACTTACTCCTTACACACTTGTCTGCTTGCTTATGTTCACTGCTCATTTTTTTTTTTTGTTATTTTCTCCCGCGAAACACGCCGGTACTCGATTTGAACATCACAATGCAATACGCTGCCGCCGCCGTTTATAATCCGCACGTTTATGTATAGGTATAGGCAGGTGTGTATCTAATGATAATTCGGCTCTGCAGCAAACATATTATAATTTATTTGATTTTTTTTTTATATTTTATTATTTACTCTTATTTTTTTTTTTACACTTTTGATGTAATAATAAATTATTGATATATTTTTTAAAAAAAAAACAAACGATCTTGTGTTTTTTTTTCTCTATTGTATCGCCGATTAATAAAATCAAAATTTATTACTATCGTTTACCCGTGATATTATAAAAAAAAAAAAAAAAAAAAACTATAAAAAAACCCGTACGTGTAAACGGCACCGGGTATAATGGGTTCATGAATTAACACGTGTGAACATATCATAACACAAATATGATATGTAACCCGTTTTCGAAAACAGGTTTCTACGGCGGCGTTGTTCTTGAATTGAAATCAAAAAACCGCATGGTACGCCGTTTACGTTTGTCTTTTATTATTTCTTTTTTTTCCCCGTCAATGGGTATCGCACACGGGCGTGATAATGTCTTACGGTATCGCTTCGATGTAGAAATTGAAAGAAATCCTCTACTCGTGCACGGAAGAAACAGACAAATACAAATCGTGCTAGTTAACATGGATTTTTTTTTTTTAATTTCATTATTCGACCATGTTAAACACGTACCTACGTTTATACAGTATTATCGTCGCGTCGCGGTCGTGTAAAAGTTTAGCTACAAGTGTCCCGTGTCATCAGCTGCTGCGACCAGAGAGCAGCCTTTCTATTTCCTACTAAGGGGAAATACGATACTTATATTCATAATATTCGAGCTCCCTTCACTTTTTTTGGTTTTTTATTTTTTCGATAGTTAACGGCGGTCAGCGTCGATATCGAATTTCATTATCATAAAGACGTGTCGTCTTGTAAGTATTGTGCGCGTGCGTATTATTCTCGTAAAATTATACGCGAGTGAACAATGTAATATAATATTTAAAAACGAAACTTATGATGGGTATCTCAAACAGAAAAAAAAAACCGGACCATTTTCACATACAAAATAAAACAAGTAGGTAGTTAATTTTAGGTGTTTTTGTTTTATTCGTATTTTTACACTCGAGTCACTTCGATATAGGTACGTACACGATGAAATGATAAAACGAAAATTCGATAGCGCGCATTTATAATACGGCTAATACTTTCACAAAGTTACGATCGATTCGCGTTCGATTTTTATTACGATATGCATATTAAAATACTACGAAAACGGTGCGGGATTTTCAAAACAATTTTATACTAACAACGTTATCTATAAAGAAAACATCTATGATAATAATTAACCTCTGCAGTTAATTTTTATCGGCGGCTAGACAATAGTACGATCGGTTCAGATCTATCTGTCGGGCAAACAGATTATATAAATAATGCGATTTGTTATAGAATTGGTTGTTTAAACAGATTCCAGTAAAAAACAATTTTTCTTTTTAAATTCGTTTTTCGAAATGGAATATATAACGGTTCTGTATAGATCTAGTTCGACAATGGGAGACCAACAAACTAAAATAGCTTAGTAATTCGATACTGGAAAGTTTTTTACAGCCAACATCCATTGATTACTTTATATAAAAAATTCAGTACGTAAATATATATTTCTCCTGGTAGCTATGGTAGCTATAAACTATAGTCGTACTTATATTCTTTAATTCTTTTGTAGCGGTTTATATTCTTTTGAATGAGGTTCACGTAGAATACAGGATGGTTTAGATTTTATTATACCGTATGCAACGATAAATCGCTGAAACCAAAACAATGACTCTGAACGGAGTGGTATGAGTTGTGTTTTTTTGTCCCGTAACCAAGTTAACCTAAAAATCAACAAAAATTAAATCGATGATAAATAGTTGTTCATTTATTGAATTTTATACTAAAACTGTGTGGAATCAAGACATAGTTTGTTTAAGATTCTGAGTGGAGCGAGTGGAGTGGTTATACAATGATGATTTTTTTTTTCTTTCTGTGAACAACTTTTTTACCAGAAATTTCACTCCAAACCCTTCAAGTGAAGGAAATCTCGTTAGGGTGATACTTAACGGATGTGATTTTTTGATTTTCCTAGGATTTATCATAATAAATGGAAAAAAACCGAGAAAAAATAGGAAAAACGGGAAAATGTACGAATTACAATATTATTTTCAAATCGTAAATATTACGGCCTTTCAAACATGTATAACCGAACTCCGTTCAGAACCGATTTAGCAATGATTAATCGTTGCTTGCAAATATGATTAAATTTGCCCTTTAGCTTCCCACCTTGTCACCTATAACGGTGACCTATCCATCGTGTGACGTATGTGCATTTGGTTTTTTTAATCGGAAGGACTACCGGGTGAAAAATCCACATCATCGTTTAAAAGTGTGACGCGAACAAATCGGAACGTTTTTACTAGCTGAACATGTGTTTACGATAAACAAGAAAATAAAGGTACAAACACACACACATCATATAGTAAAACTGATGATATATAGCTCCTTCGCTACACTCAGAATCTAAAATATCGTTTTTGCAAACGATATTATGCGCTTGTGATACTCGTGTATCGCGTCGACAATTGTTTTTCACTAATTTCTAAACACCGTTTTGATCGCGTTGAACAGTTAAAAATATAACCATTTATACCTAATATAGTCGATGGTAAAACTATTCAGACCCTGCCAGTTTAGAAAGTACCTACCTATGCATACGCGTACCACATTACGACACACACGATTAATCTAATTATTATCGTAAAAAAAAAAAATATAATAATCCCAAATCGTTCAACAGAAATAACCGGAGGCAGGCCACGGTTTTTTTCCTCCGAGTTAACATGTTTGGCCGCTTGTTTAGTCCGATCGGACTAAATTTTTTCGTACGAAGTTCGATCCATAGGAGCGAATAACCGTTGTGACGATGACGGACGGACGGACGTCTGCAGCTCGGGAAGAATATAATAATAATAATAAATACGTATACATATAAATAGCGGTCGAAATAACCGGTCCCGGGACCTTACAACACGCGGAATGCAATATATTATAAAATAAAAATAAAAATAGGTAGGTAGGTAGGTAGGTAGGTACACCCAAACCCGGTGCCGTTATGAGGTATACCTACTTACCTATAATACACCGGCTATAATGCAAATATGCTAATATTTTTAGACGCGGGGCCGGCCGCCGCCGCCGCTGTCAAGTTCAACTCCAGCATAATATTACTATTGCGCAGGGAGATTTTATTTCGAGTAAATTGGGTAACTTGATTTTAGATTCTGAGCGGAACAAGAAATGTATTGGTTTTACAATGTTTATTTTTGTAGTTTTTTTTTTTTTTGTTGTGTGGACAAGTTTCAACTAGTAGTTAATTTTCAAGTTAAGCTCTTTTTCTCAAAGTAAATCTGACAGGGGAGGTACTTTAAGCAGGCAGTTTTTCGATTTTCCCAAGAGTTTTCCCAGAAAATGTGAAAAACTGAGAAGAAACACGGGAAAACCGGGAAAATCGTACAATAAACAAATATTATTAAAGAAAATATACAATGCTTATTTAATTATCTTACTATAATATGACATATATATTGTTGATAAAGCATCAATATCAACTGAACTCCGCTCAGAATAGCAATGGTTAGCAATGGTCAGCAACGCCCGGCCCTATTAATCATTATTCTAGAACAGCTTTTTAAACCTAATTACAACATTAGTGAACTCTCTTAAAACCTACCGAGGAATTCACAGGTTCGCAATAAACGCAGGATTTCCGTGAGTGGTGGATCTAGAGAGGGCCAGGGGCCTCGTCCCCCCAGACTATAGAGTATAGACTATACCAGCGGTTCTCAACCTTTTTTCATTCACGTACCCCTTGACCTCTCACCACTATTTCACGTACCCCCAAATATCAATTTGGAATATAAATGATGAAAAATAATAATAATATTAATTTTAAAGGAAAATTTGAAAATATTTATTATTAGCTTGCGCCATACAATATGTATAAAAATAATAATATCAACTTAACAATTTTATTTAATGCGAACCTTGAGCTTGTTTGCTTGAACTTAAGTTTTTTTGAAATCTGGCTCCACACGTGACAAATAAATCCGTAACTCTGAACTTACAGACAGTTTATTACGATACTTATTTTTTATGAACGTGTACGTAGAAAAGGCCCTTTCTACCAACACAGTGCTTGTGAATGGTAGCAGAACATTGAATACCTTGCATGATAGCTCAGGATCGCTCAGAAAACGCGATAATAGATTTCTTTTCAAATGCTGCCTCAAGTGAATAATCGGTTTTCAGTTCTATTAGTTTTTCTTTTTCTTGTACTGATAAAACTGAAGATTTGAAATAATTTTCACTAACAGGAAATGTGATCCAGTGGTCTTCTTTTCTACATTTAGGAAAGTATTTTTCAAACGCTGCTATGAGGCCATTCAAATGTTGAATAACTTGTTTTTTGATGTCTTGAGATAGGACCATATCAGTTTCACAAAGGAAATCGTGTAGTGTTTCAAAAACTTCTGGTTGATTATTTTTAATATACGACTTCCAAAACTAACTTTTTAACAAAAGATTCTACTTTGTCAGTGCACTGTTTTGAAGAGTCAAATTTAGAGTGTTTAATGTTTTGCTCTAAATTTAGAACAAACTATTTCAGTTACATTAAATTTCACTTTTTCCACCATTATTAAATTTTTTTCGCGTACCCCTTGACATCATGTCACGTACCCCTAGGGGTACGCGTACTCTAAGTTGAGAACCGCTGGACTACACTAACGTTTTTACTCCCACAGATAATTGTTTATATTTCAATTTTTTTTTGTCTTGAACAAATTTTCAACCAGAAATTTTACTCGAATCAAAATATAAGTTAGCAATAGTTTATCCGTGCTTACAGATATAAATTCAATAACCTTATGTATCCAACCTTTTCGACATCTTAGCTACAACAGTGGCTGCATCCAACTTCAGTATTGCTTCTTTTTTTTTTTCGCTTGGTAATAATTTAGTAGGCGCCCAAAATTCAACTCTTGGTGATCCTCCACTGACCACTCTGTATATAGATGACTGCAACTAAGTTGGGTCCCGGACTCTAGTGGTTTCAATAGGTAGTACACCAGTTGACAATATAAATTTTTTTTTTCTTTCTCTTTTTTAAATACTTTGGACTTCGATTTAATTTGCCAGTAATTTATTCTATTGTCTTATACTTTGTACGTTTTCCTTTTTGTAAAATACAGTCCCTTATTTTTCTCTTCTTCAGAACTTATAATTTTAATGCGAGTATCTATTTGGGCCTATTTACGAAACTCCTACAAACCGGTCGATATTAAAATGGATATTGCGTCTTATTTTTCTAAACTTCCGAACTACTATGATTTTTGTCAGTATTATAATAGGCGTAGTTGACTAGTACTTCCCGCGGAAACCCGATGGCCGACCGGCACGCCACTCTTTTAAACCAGGGATCCGACTAGTGTAGATTCGTCGATCGCGGGACATGTCGAGCGAAACGGTTCGTTCGTTTTCGAGCGTGGTCAATTGTGAAACGAGAATACCGAAATAGTTTCGGTTCGGAAAACGAATAATGATCCGTCGCAGGAAAAAAAAAACAAAACCATAACGCGATAACGGCCGCGATTCCATTGTTGTTACCGGTCCGCGTATGGATAGATTATTACATTTTATTAGCGTATGATAACCGTCACGATTTATCGCGATCAAACGCGTGCGCGGTAAAAGCGGATCACAGTCGGATGCGCTCGAAAGAAAAAACCTCGCGCGGAAACTTTCTTCGCGTGCTTACCCGTGTATTATCGTTGTTGTTATTACGATCGTCGTTACACTGAAACGCCGTACACGGGTACAATCATTATGTACGATTACCTAACCCAACGCGAACGTAACCCATCCGTGATGCCTGTGTACGCGGGGTTATCACTGGCCGTCGACTACTTCGCAACAGTCTTCGACATTCGGTCCCGCGGTCAACGCGTCTCCGAGCTCCGTTACCCGTAGTGTACGCGCTCCACCGGCAAAGGCCCGCCGCGGACCACCGATCATTCCCGGCACAGCCACGCGCGTTCCTGTCGCGGCACACTGTAATCACGGTGCGCACGATGACCGCGGCGAATCTGGCGATGATGGTCCCGCTGTTGCTGGCCGGCTGCGCGGGTTGCGGTTGCGTGGTCGTCGTGTCCGCGGCCGGCGATCCCGTCGACGACGCGCCGGCGGGAGTTTTCGGCGGCGGCGGCGGCGGTGACAGCGGTTTTAATGACGACGGCGGCGGCGGCGATGACCGCAAGACCCTGACCGTCAGCTCGGCCGTCAAGAGTTGCCTGGCCGGCGTCGACCCGTTCTTGCCGTGCATCAACGAGCGGGCCATGGCCGCGCTCGAACGGACCGAATCCGCGGACGCGTTGCTCCTGGACCCGGGCCTGGAGATCGCCAGACAGCCTGGCGACGAAACGCCCGCGCCCAGAGGAGTCTATTCGTTCGGTAATACGCGTTTTTATATATATAGTAGATTATTACAAAATCGTAACGGTTATAAATTCAGCGGCTCGAGACGATAACACGTCAACGGGGTTCGCGAGATTAAAACGATACCCTTTAATCGGGGCTCGGGGGAAATCGCGCCGAAAAAGTGATTTTTAGCGCTTTGATTTGCGTTAAAAAGGCACAAATGAAAATTACAATCTAATTATTGTCTTTGCTCGAAATTCTTTTAGAAAGATGCAGCCGTCAGAGGGGCGGGCGTATAGTATAGTCATCGCCAGATATTCTGAGATATTATTCGTAATGCTATATCCCAACAAAAACCCTCCGTCATCAATGCGTGTAAAACCGTCGTTAAGAAAAAATGAAAAAACTCAAGTCAGAAAAATTGTGGTATCCAAAAGGGGCTACTTATTTAACTTAGCTTGGCGGTTATTAATATTTACGACTACAAATAAAGATACAATGCCAACATAAATTTTTACATACCAATTTTATAATTTATTAATATTACCGTAATACTATTTAGGTACATACTAAGAGTAGCCGCCGAGTTAAGTTAAACTATTTATATTAAATTATCGCACTTCATCAAATATAAAACAATTATAACCAATTTCTAAACTGATGAATTTAAGAAATTACTTAGTCCCTTTTTGATATCACAACTTTTCTAATTTGAGTTTTTTTTTTTTCTTAGCGAGGGTTCTACACGTAGTAGACTGACGGATTTTGTTGGCATATCACTAATTTCTTAAATAAAATGTTGGATATAGTTAACCTATGTTTTATTTTTATAGAGTAAAAAAAAAATAATTGGGATAAAATATCTTTGTCGTTTTATGGATTGAGTAAATGAATATATTTGATGTATAGCCACGAATATAGCTTATGAATGTTGCTGTAAAACGATACTATAGTGATACAGCGTTAAAATAAACAAAATTGTTTTTTATTCGTCGCAAACGGCCACCGTCGAAAATAGGTAGTAAAAACGCGTACAACATATTATACATTGTTGTATTTATTGTTGAAAAAAAATTACCGTTTCGTGTAAAAACTCTGCTAATACTTTTGCACATTATTCAGGCTGTAATCATCCGATCAACTTGAAATTTGCAAAATTTTCGTCTACGTAACTTATTGGTCAACCTGCGTAAATTTCAAAACAATGAGTCTATTATTTTAGGCTACAGAGAGGTCGGATCATTTGCCGTAAAATTGCACAGGTTATTACATAGGAGTTGACTGTCTCGTGTAATACGCTGCGATCGGCACAAGAGCTCTTTTTTTCTCTTCTTAGCTTTGGATTTTCATTTTGTTATAAAGTTTTTTTTTATCAGTTTTTGTTTAAATTATTTCATTTAAATGCATCTTGATGAAACATCCTTTTATACATTTTTGTCGTGGTTTAACTGCCCCGGACCCCGTTTCCTACGCCTATGGTTAAAGCAAACATTTCTTCGTCCCCCAATCCAGTACAAAATTCTAGCTTCGCCACTGATCATGTTATGAACCGTAAGTGGTTATTCTCGCGCACCACCTACACAAATTCGACCGCCGGTTCAATTACGTGTTTTATTATTAAATTACAACTACAACTATCGATTGTCGTTATAATATTTTCGTTTCTCTGCTGTACCGCGCCCTTGACCGCAGAACGCGTGTTTCGAAAGTTACGACGATCGTAAAATATACTTATAATATGTTGTACGGATAAAAATTATTTTAAGTACACGGTCGATCATCAACGACGTTACAAATTACACGTGGACACACACGAAAAGGGACTCGGCCGTTTGTATGGCAATATTATTATATTTTACGGTACCGTATATCTAGTATTGATGTATTTCGAAAATTTTGTTGTATTTTATCGCGTACGAGATGCACGAAGTGAATAAAAAAAGAAAAAAAACTCGAATTTTATACCCGGAAGGATATAGTTATTATTGATATACCTACGTATTCCTACACTCTCCGAACGTAACGTATAATTTTCGAGTTTTGTTCGACATGTTTTTAACAATTCAAATTCGAAATATTTTAATATTTCAGCTACATACTACGAAGTAACGGTTAACTGTATGCAATTTTTCAATGAAATTGATATAATTTAATATCGTGATCGCAGTACAGGACTGAATAATAATTATTATTGTACTACAGTAATATTTTACGAAAAAATTATTAGTGAGAAAAACTAGCCGGATATGCTTTGTACCGTGGTCGTCTTTGGGTTGGCATTTGTGGTAAATGTAAAGTTGGGAAGATATATCTATATATATATATATGTTTTCGGTCATTTAGTTTATATACTGTATGCGACGATAAATCATTAGAAACAAAAAACGATTCTGTATGAATTAGTGTCAAAAAACTAAAAAAACAAACAGTTTATAAAAAATAAGAAATGTCGGAGGAAGAGTATTTTTTGGGAACTTTTCGAAAAAAAATTTAAATGAACTAATATAGGGTGAACAATTTACATTTTTTAAGGTATCTATCTCGATCAACACACTGGAGACACCTGAGAAGGTTTAGAAATTCTCTTTAGAACTCACCGATAATCAATAGGAAGTTCAAATTTTGATTTTTTACTATCAAAAAAGGTAAAGCATCCTCTAGCCTTATTCCTGATGTTGGAATTCGGACCAGGACTGCTCTTCGGGATTCAAACGGAAACTTTCCTGAAATACATCATGTAGGTCCTGAAAATGTCATCCGAAAATCAGAAATATAAAAAAAACTGAATACGCAACCGGGAATCGAACCACGGATCCTAAACCTAACTTAACTTAATCTACCGCCAAACCAGTCACGATTACCGTCATCACGTCTCCGCCACTATAGATTAAACGCAAGATACAGGCACCCCATGTATCATTAATAAAAAAAAGAGGCCGCCGAACCTATAAAATAACGTAACGGTATGCCGTGTTCCCCTCAAATAACAATCTTCTCCTTTACTTTCATCCCAACTATTTGGAGCCTCGTTCTGAACTTCAATTTGACTCGATCTCCCACCTCTCATACACTTTGTATCATTCTTAATCGCATCCAACTACCTCTTTTTGGGCTATGTCTCTTACGTTTATTTGTGTTACAATTTTTACTGCTGCAAATTTTTCTCTTCTCATGAATTACCTTTCTCTGTCTATTTTCTCCATTTCATTTAATATTGCCGCTACGCCATATGAATGGTGGGGTAGATTGAACATTTGTCCAAGGCTCCCGCCAATATAAATTTTCAAGTAGAACATTTTTTTTGATATTGGCCACAGGCCACACTTTTAGCTACATCATAATATAGTTTATATATTATAAAAACAAAATCAGATTTGAAATATAAATTACTACATCTAAAGTTATATATTGACAGAATAAGAATTTTTTTTGAGAGGATTAAAAGTCGTGAATATAGAATATTCTATAATTTATACGTGTTTTGTTTTCGACGTATCGGTTGATTAACTGTAGAAATAGCGTTAAGAATTTTTAATTTTTTTAAATATTTCGTCGTGTTTTAATTGAGATAGATTTTATCGGATTTTAAAAATGTTAACTAAATCTAAAAAAGTTGAGTATAAATACCACCTGATGCCGAGCAAGGCGTGGTAGGTAGAGAAATAGATATAAGTGCCTACATGGTTCTGTGTTTTATATATACTGTACTATAGTATACTATATGTTTCTGCACCGTTCATCTGTAAATTAATATATTTCTATTCTCATCAACTATCCGATTTATTTATTATTGAAATATGTAGTGTGTAAGTATCCAAAAATTTTAGTGCAATAACCGGGACAATAATTTTAAAAATATTAACCAGTCATCGCTACCGTCCCGAATAATGACCGTATGTTTTACAAAATCATATAATTGTAGTATCATCAAAGTGATAAAAAAAATTGTTAAAAATAATAATATCCATTCAAATCCGTTATGTATAGTATAGACAATATTTTCCTTAGTCTGAAATTGTAAATTTCCGTTTAGCATAATTTTCTCCGTGTGTCTAGTGGTAAAAAACTCACGAGATTACGTTCACTGCGCTTTTACCAGAGTGTAGCAATAATTCGTAGCAAGAAAGATCCGGTCGGTTAGACGAAGTCGAATTCGCGGTACAATTCGATATCGTGCGTCATAACAGTCGTTTGCCACTGTCGGTAACGTGAAAACCAAAAGCAGTAACGTCAGAATCAGATCGCCTCTGGGTGTCACTAAGCCGGGCGTCACCAAGCCCTTCGCGTTTCCGAAGCGAAGGAGGCCTGCGTGTTTCGGATAGTCGAAAAAAAAGTGCGTCGTAATAAAAGACCACAATAGCCAGTGGACTAAAGACTAAAGACCGCGAGATCGAAATCTCCGACGCGTCGGCGAAACGTCTGACCGCGCCGCCGGACGGTCGCGTGAGCCGAGAAATCCGCGAGAAATGCAAACCGCGGTCCAAAAAATCAAAGTCTCGTGTTGCGCCGGCAAGGTTACCGTGTGGAAGCTGGCTATCCGGAGCGTGGACGAGGAGCGTTTGGAAGACGTGCTCGCCGAGCTAAACCGGTTGTCCGAGCCCGGCGAAAAGAACGTTTAATACAAAATAATAACTGTACGCATTGTTCGCGGGATGTCGGTCGGAAACAATATTAAATCAGTTGTGCTGGTCCGTGGCGTACGGCCGGAACAAAAAAAAAAAAAAAAAAAAAAAACAACAACGTCCAAACCAATAAAATTATCGTCGGAGCTGGGAAGGCGGTCGGGGACGGTACGCGCCAACCGCGTTATTTGTTTTCGATTTGTGTGTTATCAATTTGTTCATTGTTGTTTGTTTGGTTGTTTTTTTTTTTTTTTTTTTTTTAGTTTTAAGTCAGATCACTTAAAATCAGTTTTACTCTTGAAACAACTCGTATGTAATAAAATAATTGTCGTGTAAGCAAAACGTTTGTTTGCCGTGCAACGTATTACGGACGTCATATTTTATTATTTAATTGTTTAAAAGAAAAATTATAATAAACGAGTCGTTTGTACACACCTGTACGCTATAAACGCATACTTAGGTTGTCAGCTTAATTCCGATTAACGTTGTATCGTACCCATCGTAAAAAAACAAATTCGAATTAAAAACCGGACATAGTTAACAGCAACAACGTAGCAAACAACGATTCTGAGTGGATTTCGAATTGAACTGTTCGCCGATCAGCGATCCCCACCGTTTAACGGAGACAACCAAGATAAAAAAAAACGAATTTTTGGCTAGATATAGGATACATAAGTTAATTAAATTTATATATATTTGACGCGAAAACAGACTACGTTTCTAAGCGATGACGTCAGATTGAAAATATGTTTTGAAATGCCGTGACTTTTACGATTTCCATAGAAATTTGAACTGGAAACGCGTAAAAAAATACCATACGAATTCCCAATATACTTTGTAAAGTGCTATAAGAAAACCGTATGCTTAACTTCGTAACTTGTTTTAGAGCATTTTCGAGAATTGAATCGAATTGAGTGTCCACATGACAACTAAAATAACTCGAAAATTTAAAACAGTTCGAATAATTAACGAAGAACTGTACACCACGTCCGTAGAAACCGTCTTTACGATTATTGTTAACTGTTGAATTACAACAAAAAATTATATTGTAAATAACAGAGACCGTTATTATTGTGTATATTTAACGAAAAAATGATGAGGAACAAATCCAATTTGTTAATTTTTTTTTTTTTTCTGTATATTGTTTATTTAAGAACGATGGTGAAATCAGAATTAAACGGACTGACTAAAATTCGAAATTATAGCTATTTGAAGTTTTGATATTATGCGGGTGTTATATGTTAAATATATCTATTTTGTTCTTCTTGAAGCATATTTTTGTCGTGATCTAATGGTTATTTATGTCTATTATCATCCTAGGGGTTCCGGCTCAAACCATTGTGACGTAAAATAATTGTTTGAATTTTGTTTTCCTTTACCTATATAATGAAATAAAAAATGCATTTTGGATGTATCTAGAGATCCATCGTCATCGCTCTCTCGGACTATTTTAATCGCAAAATATCCTTCAATTTGTTGTGTACGCTTTTCTACCAGAAATCTTGCTCCGATGTATCAGTGTAGCTTATTTTCTGAAAGAAAATTTTGTATCCATGATAATTTAAATAAGTAATTTAATGATTTTTCAAGCGGTTTTTATAATATCTGGGAAAAATCAGGATGAAATTAGTAAAAAAATATTATGGCCTTTTTTTCTGAGTACAACTTTTTTATCATCAATTTTGCTCCAATTTAAATTAATAGCACTTTTTCAGGACAAAAATCTGATGGGGAAGGTACTTTATGGAAGTAATTTTCTGATTTTTCTTAGAGTTTTCCCAATAAATGGAAAAAATCGGGAAAAAACATGAAAAAATCGGTACAATATTAAACAAATATTATTAAAGAAAATATATAATGCCTATTTAATTATTTTACCACAATATGACATATATATTGTTGACAAAGCATCACTATCAACTGAACTGCACTCAGAATCTTTTTTTCGTTAGCAATGTTTTATCGTTGTTTAAAAATATATATTAAAGTACCTATAATAGTGTCTGCGCCAGTCTACATTATCCTAGAACGTCTTTTTTATTTTATTATTACGTATTCCATCCTGACTGCGCAGCTTCGTTGAACTGCACCACATCGGTAGGTGCTGGGTCATCGTGTAATTTGTGACCATAATATCACCTACTGAGTTATTAAAAACAGGTCGTTTCACGGGTATATACGGGTATATATGGGCAATATAAGTTTTTAATGTCGAAATACATCTCGAAAACTCAATGGGAGGAGGGATTAAATGAGGGTTATTGAGGGCCAAATAAGATGCTCCCAGAAATGTCAAAATGCTCATCAATTGGAAGCTCCGGGTGCTCTTTAATTGAACTCAAATAGTTAGGTATGTATTAATTTTGACGGAAACAGTCAGTTCTTTGGAAGGTTAAAATGCATCCAAAATGGTAATAATGGTCAAGCACCGATTGGAAATGAATCAGGCACTACTCGGGAAGTTTAAAAAAGGCTTCCCAACAAGGAATTCTTGATAGACATTAATTTCATAATAAACATGAATTTCCCACGGCCGTTATTGATGTTAGAGATAGTTGGGAAAAAACCTTATAAGTATTTTTTACACTTATCGAAAAAATATATTCATAGACGGAAAAAATCAGAAATCTTCTTTGCAAAAGTATACATCATTAGACTTATATTCAGAATCTCAAAACTATACTCGTCCGCGAGAATATTAATTTAAAAGTCAAATGTATATTATTATATTTACGTACATCGGCGAGGAAAAAAAAAAGAAAGAGACTTGTTTATAAAGTAGTGTAATAGTTGATAGTTGGCAAGGACCGATGAAATATATTATTTCGCTTCCGTGTCATCATAATTATTTACGTGCGTGCGTGCGTGCGTGTGTGACAAATGGAATCTCGGAATAAAACGATAACACGTAGGATATAATGCCGTGGGTAAAATCGTAAAAAATACTATGGCCACATATATAAGAAAGTCGATTCCCCGCGCGTTTGTCCATTTAGGGTTGTAGTCTAGCAAAATTGGTACGACGCTCCGCGGACAAACACGGTAATCTCCGCGTCTAGATGTTGTCCGTTTGGGTCGTTTGTTCAAAGTTTCGTCAATTGTTATACACCTTTCCGGCGAAAGTTATAAATACCACTAACTATACCTATACACGCGTTATAAATATTTCCGGTTTACGTGTGTGTTACACATTTTCCAAAATGATTCCTGTAAATTCTCAATGGCGCCGAAATAAATTCTGAGTTAAACCAGAAAAAAAAAAAAAAATATTTACACGATTTGTAAATTTGAAATGCGACTATTAGTAAAAAGTATAAATCGGGCCGAAACAATGTTTAAAAAACGCTGGAATATTATAAAAATTGCACCGCGTATAGAAACATTTCACTTGTGAAAATTTCACGTCTCCTATGTGAGATACACCGGACGACTATGCGCCCACTCCTAAAATAAAATTAGACTCGCGAGTTGATCGCGGAGGAGCTTATTGGAAAATTCTTACACGGATTGTCACGCGATGAAATTCTCCTTCTTACCTATTATCTTCAATACTCTTTGAAGTTTCTCAATGATACACGAGATACCACGCACCATTACTTATTGTTAACATTCACGGTGTTCTAGTGACATTACGGACATGATATTATTTTGAACCTATATTTTGATTAAGGACAACAGCCGATATTATTATTCGCATCGGATATTATTTTCGTGTACGCGTTCGATCGTGCAACGGGACATGACGTATACCTATTACCCATTACCCTTATTGGTAATATAAATTAATAATTTTTTCTTAATTATCGTCAAATAATTTTTATCAATTCATTGTTGATAATTTTGATTTTAAATTGTATTTTCTAGTCTTGTACATTTTCACGCGGACATATTGTTATTGGGTATTTTTTTCGAGGCATAAACGAACGCGCGGTTTTAAATTTTTTTTTTTTTTTTTTAGGACATAAAATCGTGCCGGCGTCAGTCCGTCGGCTATATCGAAATGTTTCCAATTGCTTATTATTTTGTGTTATCGCATTCACACGGCCCGTGTGTACACTGTGTGTTTTCTTCGTGATCGGTGACTTCCGGTTGGCGGCGGTATGGTTTTATTGTTATTATTATTTGCGCTTCTTCCAAAACGCATAATAAATGTGCAATGCGATATTGAATTTTTCGACGACGACGCGATGATAATAATATTATAACGGCTTTATAGTGACCGATAAAAACGTATACAACGACAACGGCACCAATATTATTAAATGTCCAATCACAATCGCCGTTTCGATGAAAATAACACGAGAACAAAATTATCAGTTATCCACTGTCAACACGTGTAATCCTTTAGGATTAAAAAATATTATTACTTAGTTATAATATTACTTAATTAACAAGTTTGTGAATGTTGAAAAACCCTCTTAAAAACAACACGCTTAGTCCCTCGAAAACAGCTCGCAATGCTAAGAAAAAAAAAAAAATAAATAATAATAACAATAAGCAGATATAGCAGTAACGAAGCATTCATATATATAGCATGACAGATTCACAACCTACGCATAAAAAATAATACTTATAATATAAATCGTTAATAATACAATACAATAAGAAGAAGAAGTTACCTTAAAAGAGGGGAGGGGGTTGTGAGGTAAAACAAAAATTCAAAAAAGGTGTCGAAACTGAGTACATGCCATTGTTACATAGAAATAAGCACATAATATTGGCTTGAAATAATAGCTGTACTTTTGTTCAAAACAATTTTAAAACGTATCCTCAGGGACGCAACTCTATACTCAACACAGGACTTGGCAAGACTGATTCACAAAGCCAAGAGCGCAATATATCAGAAAAGGGGCGCAAAATCCGGAATTCATTTGTAGTAGAATTTACAATATTTTGTAAAATAATAGTGGATAAAGGATAGGCTATAAAAGCGGGAATTTCCGTGTAGCCAAAGGCGCTAAATACCTTTTTTACAGCTCTAAGTATCTTTCACGTACCTATGTGTACGGATAAAAACTACATAACGTTATGTCTTACAGTACACGAGGGGGGGGGGGAGAGGAAAATGATTTCACAACCTTAATAATTAATACCTCGTGTATCAGCATGAACGGGTTTTCGAAAATTAAACGATACGATAATCCGCGTGCATTCTGAACTTATTGTCCCGACATTATATCGTTAATAAATTATTATTATTACCATGTGCGGCTACTCCTTCGTCGTGTGTTAAATCCGCCGCCGCCGTTAAAAAAAAAAAAAACAGTTATGACTTGAACGGCACACTAAATGTTAAAAAATAACGTACACAGTTTTGACACACTTAATAATATTTACTCTAGTAAATCGGGTACGCAGCGCAATCGCGAGAGAAGTTTTCATGAAAAAAAACATAAATCGATATTATAATAATATATCAATAGTTGTAACCGGTATTTTATATAAATAAAAAAAAAAAACGATTTCATTATAAATGGATACGGTAGTGAGCGATGTTTTTGATGAAATGTCGTATGCAAAGTTAATCTGCCCAAATGGTCCGATTGACTCGATTGTGTAAAATACAATTCATAATATTTATAAGCCAACGTTAGTTTTTTCTCTAACCCCAAACATAAATGCATCGGACGTTCGTTTAGAAATAAAAACTAATTGCCGGATTGGCTTGCGTCCTAAAAAAAATTATAAATACACCTATAACACAGATGAATTTTGAAGTTGATTAAATTTCAACACTATCGATAATCAATAATTGACACTTGCATTTTCAGTAGAAGTGTGTAGTTATGAAATTTCACGTCACACTCTGTTTAGGGAGGTTCGTCGCCACCGAAACAATCCTATATAATACCATCATGCCTATTCCCGTCCACCCACGGCGTACGGATATTTGGCTTTCTTTATGTACGACAACAAACTTTTATATTTTATTCGTTGCGGATGAGGTTTCGCTTTCAAAAAATTTAAATTACATACAACGTGCGCAGTGCTCTGTCACGCGCGTTCGCCCGACCGAGTGGTTTGTCCGTCCGAATTCCTAACCTAAAATATCCTATTTCACATAAATTATACATTCATCAGATCTGTTGTACTCCGCAATATAATAACATTATTATGTTTGATCCGGCCGCCGCGCGCCACCACCGACGTTCGATTTCCAAAAGTCATTCGAGTCCCAATTATTATTATAATGCGTTCCGTCAGACGATTGTGTTGTACAAACGGATTTGAAGTACCTGTCGTATTTCCTTTTGCCGGATAATTATGCAAATGATTGACCTTATTGGAGGATGCAGCGCACAGAGCGACTATGTATAACGAGACGTATAATCAATTCGGAATACGGTTATACATAAAACACTGTTCTATAATGCCAATGCAAAATACTATACGCGATCGGACTTTCATATTATAAAATTAGTATACCTAACTCGTGGTTATTATTGTACTTGGTAGGCATTTTAATTAACAATAGCGCGCGTTGAGTATCAGACGTCGAAAATATAGTTCGAACTACGTCTTCGAAATCTTAGGATTTATTATTAATGTGAATAAAATTGTAAAAAGAAAAAGAAAAAAAAAAAAGGCCGATATTGTGTGGCACTGTTTCAAGATAGAGGATTAAATCGAATAATTGAATTCATCCACTTTTTGCCCCGCGTACTGTAGATATACTCGCATTGTACTTAATCTGTCTGTATAGATGTTTTTATGTTCGCCCTTACGAGTCGATTGATTAGTGGCTTTTTGGGATAACGTGTTTTTTTACTTTTCGTCATAGACAATTATGTGTCAAAGCCTAGGTCATTCGAGATAAAAGATTATTCGTCACAATAGATTCAAAAACGCTCGTATTTTTTATCCTCCTTTAAGTTTATTTGGTTATAGTCGGTCTGCGATTGTCGTTAGATGTCAATAATTGCTGCGCTTCTGAAATATTAATAATATTATTGTTTGACCTAATCTTCGATGCTCCTGGTATTTTCGACAGGCGATAATCCGTACAACGTCGGTGCCGTCATTGAAGCCGCATCCTCGTTGCTGTCCAGGCGAACGTTTATTTGGGATCTGAGTATACTTTATCCCGGGTTACAGATGCGAATCGGACCGACGTACAACGGCAAAGGATTAATCGACTTCAACGTGGACCGACGGCATACGTTCAACGAGAGAAGTTTGAATTATGGTAGGTATTTTTGTGTTTTGTTTTGATTTGCAGGGCGCTACTATCTATAATATTATCGGTTTATACTCACCTCGTGGTATTAAAAAATATAGGTGATTTTGATAAGAAATAAAATTCAGTGAATCCCGATTGTTATAATAATAATATAGTAGTTAGTTATTGGCAATAATTTAATTTAAATGCATCTAATTGTCGAGGTACGATAACATACTAAAACTAGTTGGCAACAAAACGAAAAATAATAAGTAAGTAAATAACCGACAATTCTCTATCTACACACCGAGTTCGAGTGAAATAATAAAGTAACAGGCAACCACTAGAGTACGCTACCAATCACAAAATTACACAATTATACATATTATATTTGTAACAAATGTTAGTATTATTTATATATCTTTACAAAAGGTTTCTTATTTTAAGTTCTAATAATATTATTAGTACGTAAATTGTATTATTGTTTTGTAATGTTTGTTTTTTTAATCAGTTTTTAGAGGCTATTATTAAATTTCATTTGTAAATTTTGAATATTTTTTTTTATAAAAAAAAATGTTATCAGATCGTTAAAAAAACACCAATTATAAAATAATATTTGATTTATTTTTCCAATTAAAATTGATTCAATTACAAGCATACATATTTTTTGTGTTTTTAAGGTCACATGATATTCAAAAGGTCATTTTTAGCGAATGTGTTGGCTACACAAATCACTATTGCTTCAGTTATACCAATCGTATTTACGGCTATTTATTTCCTAACTAAAAACGCTTTTCTGTTGTCCAAGGTCGCGTTAGTTATCACCAGCGTTGTAAGTGTATAGTTACTGATGTTTGTATTTCTAAAGCGTAGGTTTGCCAATCAGAAATAAAAAAATGTTTAATACTTTTGTCATTGCACTATACAGGTGGGGTACGGTTCGCTGTTTCTGCAACACAGTAGCAAACCGATCATTAATAGCCACCATCCATTTGGTGGTCATAATCCGACAGGTGCTGCTGCGGGTTTTTATCCGATTGGCGGTCATTATCCGATAAACGGTCACCATCCGATAAGTGGTTATCATCATCCAACAAGCGGTCATCACCATAACGCGTTCGTCGGGGACATCAGAGGCGATAAATTTTATAACAATTTCGACGGTTTTCAAAAAATTTCATCTTCGAAATCTCCAACGGCATCACTATTTAGAGGCGTCAATTATTTCCCGCAAGAAGAGCATGCCACCTCCGATGTCGCGTACAAGGACTTAGACTTGGACTTGAACGATCGTAGCAAAAAAGAAGCGGAATAAACCAATTACGACGGTTTAAAATCACGTTCGCTAGAACACGTACACAATATTGAAACTTGTAAATAATATTGAAATATGTAAAGATTCTTTATGGTATTATAAATTCCTACGGTTTAACGCGTGTTAGATTTTATTATTATTCGCCCTACTCCATAATCTGAGTTTGATAAATTATACAAATTATACCTAACCTAACATAACCTGTTCTGTTAACTTATTCGTATATATTTTGAATTTGAGCAATTAATAGATTGTCCAATAAAAATAAAATTAAAACAATTGATTAATTTCGCAAAACTATTTTAATGAGTAGGTGTAAAAAAAAATTACGGACAAATAAAAATTCGTATTTACATAATATAATATAACGTGTGGGCTTCATTAAACCCAATACGCCAAGGATTAGTGATAGATATGATCTGAACTTTTGTGATTTTTAATACAAAATATAATTTAACGTTCCTACGATTTGTATAGTTATTAGTTTATAACTGTCGTGAAATTACACGTGCGTTCATGTTTATTTATATTGTATTATTTTGTTGTTGATTTTAAAACTTACAGTGTATTATTTTTAGCTGAGACACGCAATTCGTATTTGATAAATTGTGACCAGTAGCGGCGTTGGTTCTTTACTAGGAAATGTAAACGTGTTTTTGAATCTGAGCCGAGCGAAAAATATGTTTGTTTTAATAATTTTAAATCGTATTATATTGTATTTTTTTTTTTTGGATTCTTACCGTGTCAAGGAATTTAACGCATTTAATATGAAGCGTTTTTTGAAAAATATTTTTTCCGTTTGTAAACAACTTCAGATATTATGATTTCCGGGAGAAAACAATGTCTAGTTCGTACATTAATAAGCCGGCGTAATTAATGAATACAATATTTTCAATTTAAGTTTATCCAAATATAAATGTAAATTGTACAAAAAAGGGTGTAAGGCAGACATTTGTTGATTATTCATGACCAAAAACCGGATTTATATACTCTAAAAACACCTAAAATATGATGCTAATATTCTCTAAAAAAACTTTAAAATATTTTCATTATATTCTCTTATGAGTTTGAAAAATATGCAAAAATAATCAAAGAACATCAATTTATGCTTTAATATACAATTTTTTTTTTTCAACATTTCATAAATAATTAGTTAAACTTCCGTATTAAACTTGAATAATATTGCATTTAAGTAAGAGTAAGAATATAATATAAATATAACTATACAGGTTATTTAATTTTTAAAAACTTAAAAAATTACGTTAAATGGTTAGCCACCAGATTTAGTGAACGGTAACTTATAATAGGTAAGTACTATAAATAATACTAACCTTTTTATTAAAATGATACAAAAAAAAATTGTAAATGTTCAAAATATATTTTTCCAGGTACCGTATTATTAAAATTAATATTTTTTTCTCACAATTTACAAAATACTCCAAAATATGTAAAATAGGCTAAATATTCCTTAATCCAAGAAATGTTCTTTTAAAATTCTTACAAAAAACTTTTTCCAAAAACTCAAAACTGAACGAATCGTCGACATTTCTTACTCTCATAAGACTGCATAAGCTCAGCAACAATATGTAAAAACATATAAATCCGGTCTTTATTTATGACCAACATATTTTAATTTCCTAAACGACAATTCCAAACAACTTTTTAGAGTAAATGAGAATATGAATATAAATAAATCTTTATCCAATTTTTATTCAAATTTATCCAATTTCTATTTATCTGAATTATAAATTAAAGAAATTACTTTGTATTTTGTCCTCAATTTTATTTGTCTTTACTTATATTATTGTAAACATATTTAGTGTGTAGATAATAAAAAATAATTATCTACCTTCAACACAAGCTATGCTCATAGGAGACAGATAAACCAAAATGTTTTACAAAATACTTGTATTAAAATTGTTTAATAACAATATTTTTCACAAATATATAAATTATAAATATTTAACCGAACTAAGTTCAGAATAGTTTTTTTCGAACGATGATTTATCGTTTCGTCCAGATATAAATTGCATTGCCCTATAGATTCAACTTTTACAACTTCCCAACTACAACGTTTGCAAACCCGGAATGTGAAGTCTTATAAAATTAAACACCCCAAAAATCAATACCCAATTTATAACGGTTTTGGAGCTAACTGTTTTAGATTGTCGTCGAGTACGCGTACTCAAAATAAATATTTTTGATGTAAACTTGCCGAGGTTAAAGTGTTTTCATAAAAATTCGTAACTTGGAACAGGATCGCCTCGTCTTTTAAAGTTTTAAATATAAACCAAGAATATAATATTGTTAAGTTATTTCGGCGATGAAAACATTTTATTTAACATTGTTTTCTGTACTTTAAGACGGCATACATTGTGATATTATTATATATTTTCATCGAAAGAATTTCGCATTGTATTGATTTTTAATTATACGAGTATTCCGCCGAAAAAACCGCCACAATTTGATTTAATGCAGATTTACTTTGTATTTTACAATAAAATATTATTCATAAGACTTAATATGACAGTTGTTTTTGTGATATTGTTTTACAGTTATGTCACATGGACAAAACCGTAAACCGTTTCACACGAAATTTTGGCAGCTTTGTGTTTTAAAAAATGTGATTAAAAAATGATTTAACACAACGCAATAAGATACATTGATATATTTTAAAATGTAGCAGTTTAATGTTTGTTCACAAATATTTGACGCTGAATCGAATCATGACACCACGTTTTATATAGGTCGAACATTTTGTAGAGATAAATGTTGTTTGTGGTTGTACAAATTGATCATTGACAATTTAGTTAGATGTACACACATCTGACCCAAAAGTGCCAAGTGTATTATAATAATTTTATTATAGTACAAAATATAGTAGACGCACAGAAAATAAAACCGCGATTGAACTGGTAGATACAGATATTTTTTTATTGGCCCCGAAGAATAATATAACTTAATACATTGTACACCACTGCAAACGAAGCGCTTTCCGGTGTTCTAGATGTATTTAGTTGCGTGTTTAGTATTTTCACGGCGTATACGAAACAAGCACTGCGATCTTGATGATTTAGTACGACGCACTTGTTTTTAAAAACATTAAACGCGTTCGAACTCGAAGACATTTTTTAATAACTACCTGTATGAAATAAAATATAAACACCTGTATCGTTGTTATTATACGATTATACAAATCCGTACTAAAAATTAGACTAGGGTGCGTTCGAATATTCAATTCTAATTAACTATGATTTGAAAAAACTACTTCTACTTCTATACGCTGAATCTATTCTATTCTAAATTTTGAAACACAGTTCTACAACTCCAATTCTCCATTCGAATCGATTGGTCACATTTTCTTTTAACACCCTGAAACTTATGTACTTATCATATTTTATTTATCCTGTACACCTATATAATAGTTACGAAGTCACCTTAGTGGACTTATTCTTCACTTCAATAATAATTATCGATTAATTTTTGTATTATTATGTAGTTCATATAGGTGTTTCAGGTCATGCCCTGCGACCTTTTTTCAACGTCTGATCGCGCTCATGAGTTTACGTTTTTAATTAACAATTTCTTGTATCCATCTTCTTTTATTTTTCACTATAAGTATACATTTTAATTAAAACAATAGCTATTTTATTTAATTGAAAAAAAGTTTATTATAATTGTCAAACATTGTAGTAAAATGAATGTAAATTTTGTATTTTAAGCGTAACTATTAATTTACAAATTGACCTAAATCACTTAGTTGTGACCAATCCTCAGCGTTTCGTTCGTCATCTAATACAAATTTACCTGATTTTTTAAAAATGTGCAGAAACCAAAAGGGTTCATACAAAATTATATTATAATTTTTATTTTTATTATCAATGTAAAACTGACGAAACAATTTTGTATCTTACCTGTTATAAAATTCCATTTCCTAAAAAAAGATTCTTTAAAAGCTGAAATCGGTAAAGATGTTATGTTATTTATTAGTTATTAATTCGGTTAATTTTATTAACAGTTATTGAAAAATAATCAGATCTGGTTCCAAAATCGAATAAATATTATTAGTACTAGTATAATATTATTAAAATTTAAACTCAAACTCGACAGTGGCTCGCCACAATGACAATAAAACAATTATTATTTTTATGAATAGAAGCAATGATAATGATTCAGCAGCCGATTCTCAACACGATACTTACATTTATCTAATATGTTCGTAAATAGATATTTCTTATTATTATACAACTACGATACTTAAATTTTGCATTATATTACAATATGCTATGTAGCGACTAGGTATAACAGTAATAGTTGGCCAACGTAAAAAAAAAAAAACAAAAGCTGATAATGGGGATGGGTGTGACGCTGTTGTAGGTGAAATGCTGAAAAATTAAGGTACATAAAGTTAGTTAATTCATATCTTTACGCAACGATAAACCATTTTAGGGAAAAATTATCCTAAATGATGTCCGGTTATTATTATTATTTGAAATGCTGTAATTTGTGGATTTTTATCAAATTTAATCTTAAACCGCTTGTAAAAACAACCTTGCATTCAACATTTTTACCACGTCTTGAAAAGGGTATATTATTATAATTTGATATTTCTGATTAAATGAAAATCTCGTAACTTTACGATAACTTTTAACCGACTTACAATTAAAAAAAAAAAAAATTTAAAATAATGAAACCATTTATGCTGTTAACTTTTCTGTATCTCCTACGTTTTATCCGGTTTTTCTCAATTGTCATCAAGAATAATTGAATTTTGGAATTTGGATTAACCAACTAAATTTAAAATGCAATAGAAAATAGTTCTAGTTGTTTTTTTTTTGATTAGATCATGATTTCTGGTAGACAAGTTGCTAACAGGCACAAAAATAAAAAAATAAGCTCAAATTATATAAAACCAATACATTTCACGATCCAATCAGAATCTGATATCGTAAAAGCAATACTTATTTAAAATAAAAATATCATATTTATAAGATTATTCTTTAGGATTTGAACATAATTAACGTAAATTCGGAAATTTTAGTGGTTTTATTGGCGGATTGATGCGAATCAAATTGAGTTGAATTTAAATATGAATTTTACAATATTTCGGTGAGAAGAGAGTGTTTTTTAGCCTTGACCGTTTCTATAGGCAGGGGAATAAAATTGTATGGTATCAAGGATGTTATTTTGGGGGAGTTTCAATTTTCAACCTAGGTTCTCTATTATTGCTACGCTACCGTAAATTTGAATTCAAGTTTTCTATAATACAAAATAAGGGCGGGGGGGGGGTTTCGACTTTAGTGTTCTACTACACATGGGATTTTTTTTTTTAATGATATAACTGTGTTTATAAACGATTTTCACGCCACGACGTTTATTATTCGGGTTTTATTCAAACTAATTATAATTATAACACCAAGCCTCGTGGTCTCATTAATACCATCGGGCCAACTACGGTATAATCGTTTATCGGGATAATAGTGTCATGTGCACCGGCACACTTGCAGGACTGTGACCGTCACTCGTGAGGGACAAAAATACCGTAACGTGTCAACCATTATTATTATATCCACTTGAAGTAATAGTGTGACAACAATATACTTACCAAGTGTAGATAATAATAAAAATATTGTGTATTCGTAATTTTTATTGAAATAATAATAATACAGGTAATCCGTTGAAACCGTTAAATCGAATAGGCGTGCGATTCCAATATAGATTATAAGTACATAACCAAATCTTAGTAGTAAATAATTACACAGTTCAGTTATAATTACAACTTGTTAGTTAATTTGTTTGACAACTATCAATTTAACTAGTTAAAAACAATTTTAATGTTAGAAAAAGGCTTGGTTATTTCTTTTGATAAATAGTTTTGATTCCATTTAGTTATTTTGTTAAAAATAGTTTGTTGCGTTTGTTTTTCGATAAAAATGACTAGATTTTTTTTTTACGCCAATATCATTATCACATTACAAAAAAGGTTATTCGGGAGATGTCCGCACGCATCTCGTATTGTTAAACAATACAAATCTATCATATTTGAACACATGATTTATTAAAAGTAAATAGTGAAAAGTCATTTTAAAAAATATAGTAAGTTTTAATTTAACTAAGTAATTATTTTTCTGAAAATGTATTGTTAGCTTAGTTCAATTATTTCTAATTCATTTATATTTTAAAATGACTTTTAATTTATATTTATGTTTTAAGATAACTCAACTAAAATACGTTTTAAAAAATCAGTCAACTGGACCAGCTTCGAATATCAGTGTTTACAAGAATGGATTACACCATATTCTTGGCTTCATTTGACGATTTGCACTTGACTATTGCGCACAAATCGAACAACAGGAATACTGCAAATACGAATAATAAACACATAACCGTATTTTTTTCGTTTCGTACCGTCAATTATATCTCAAATATTATTTATATTTGGACGTCGCGGTGCTTTTTATCCACGAGTGACACCGCGCAAGAGTATTAAATATTCAAACACATACATAAAAGAATATTATATTAACACTTTTTATCGTACAGAATTGGTTACACATTACTATGAACAATATTTTAAACCGTTATATTGATCATTATAGTACGATTCTTTTTATGATTAAAATTTGTAAATTTATTATTATTATGATTCTTTAAAAAAAAAAAAAAACTATTTTTGCGTATATCTGGACGTCGGGTTAATAAATGTTCAATTTTTGTGAAAATTTGATATGGGTCCTGACATATGTAATTTAATGTTTGTTTGTGTTATAGACAAGTGGTATTTTCATCACTAGAATTACAAGAAAAGGATGGACCAATGTCGAAAACAAAAATATGTTGGTATGCTATTTGAAAAGTGATCAATCTGACATAAGCTTTCAGAGTCCTAAGGTAATTCAAGAATTGAATTTTGCTCTTCTTAATATATTATTAAGAAAATATATTATAGGTGCCCATTGCGATATATCGGAAAGTATTAACTTTTTTTTGATACATAGTTCAAGAAATAATACTACTTTCCGACACATCGAAATACATTTATTTTTCATGGGACGCCCCGTATAATCTATGTTACTTCTCAAAGAATCGGATTAATCAGAAAAAGAATCGTATAATACATATAGTCGTCCGATATTAATCGTAGAAAAAAAATGTATGTATTTTATAATGTATAACGTGTTAATATTTATAACACCAGTATGAACATTTTTTTCATACATGTATAATTTTACAAAATATCTCCGATAAAAATTATCTCTATTATAATATTTTACTACAGAGTAAAACACTATTATATCGATGGTGTTTTGTTGAAAAGGCGTATACCATTAAAAAACGAAAACTACGTTTTTGGTATCAAACAAATCAGAATAATTAGGAGAATCAACTGGTAAAAGAGCGTATTTAAATGCAGAAAATAAAGTTGGTCAGATGTTGACTAAAAGATATCCCAGTAGCTCTTTTAAAATATAATTCGATCAACACTGATTTGTTAAAAGGGCGTATACCACATTCAATACAACACGTATAATGTGTGTACACGGTATTATTTGCATACGAGTAATCATATTGTTATTTCCACGATAAACATCATTAAAAACTGTTTTGCTGTTTTGCTTCCTGAAAAAAAGTGAAAACTGATTGACGCCCTTTTAACAAGACACCGTTGATACTATGGTGTGTACTTCGGAGATGCACGTTTTCATTGGAGATATTTCGTTTAATCGATAGTATTACTACACTGAACAATTAATATTTGTACTCAGCTCAGTTTTTACCGGTCACCTTCAGGATTTCGGATCGCGTATAGTGATGCACATATATATACCGGCAACTCGTATGTAACATCTTCGTATACGGAGTTCCGGTACATGCAATGTTTTTTTACAATGTTATTTCCACGGCGGCTACTGTGGATACTGCGACCGCCAGCCGCCGTTTTCGTCGCCGTACGAGTCGCGTTTCAGTTGTCCGTGGTACGCGATCGCCGCGGCCGCCTCTTTTGCGCCGGGCTCGTGATTAGGCAGTTGTGCGTCATAACTCCTGCTGTAACCGGCGTGCTCAGACGTTCCACCGCCGCTATACGAGGGCTGTACAACGCCGGCTCCGCCTCCCCCGCCGAACATCTTTTTCAGCACCAGGATCGACGCCAGCGCCAGCGCCAGCTTGGCGATCAGCAGGGCCTTCGTGGCTATCATCATCACGCCGCCCATCATCATTTTCGTCATAACCCCGCTGACGACGGTCATGCCCATCGAAGCGGCTCCCAACATCATACCCATTTTGTTGTGTTTGTCGCCCTTATTTTTCTTCTTGCGACCTGCGAACACATCACAACAATATAGCTGACGTGTACAAAAAAAAAATGTGTACGACCCGTTTATAGTACGGTCATGTAAATGTTAAAAACGGCCGGCGCTAAGCGAAATCCAAAAGCTGCAAATGTTTACGGTGGCGAACATTTTTTTTCGCATACGATTTCGACGAAACCGTATTTTCAAACCAAAGTTGTATACATTGTTGATGTTGAAATAATCACTATTACGCGCTAAAACCACACATGTATTGTATTAAATGATTAAATATATCGTATTTATTGTACGTCAATCTCACTCATCTGGTAAAATTTGATTGCAACGTCAAATACACTATTGACGTGCATACATAATTTAGGAAACTTAGTGCACTATGGCACAATAAAGTTATGCTGTAGTCGGAATTATTTTAAGAATAAATGTACATTCACTTTTTTTTTTCGGTTAGGAGGATGTCATACCCACGCGAGTTGTCTACGTCTTACCAACGCACTACATTACAAAATTACGTTACTCACTACTCAAAACGTACATTTTAATATTTAAATTGAAATCGGAGATTGATCACAAGTAACAAAATCTGAAGAATTAAAGCTATTAAACAAACGCGAAAACTAATAAGACTGTAATTTTTTCGCATGCCAATTTTTTTATGTAATCGCATTTGTATCGCCCATTTAATACATACATATATTATTATTTACTTTATTTTATACATTCCGGGACACTCGCTCGCATAAAACAGATCTATTTTCACCTGCACTTTATCATCCGACCGATAACCGCGTCATCTATTTACGCCGCGAAACGGATTATTGAAATCGGGTCGTCAATCTCTACATAGTACTTACACAAAAACCGTCGCTAGTACCGGGCGATCCATTTAAGTTGGTACAGTGTTACACCCAATATCTCGAAATGTATTAACTTTTTTTGGAATTTGATTTCTAGAACATTTGAGAAACGATCAGCTCTACAATTTTATATTTATGTTATTTTTTGGTCACTCTTAGTTTTGGGGGTAAAACAACTACCTACTTTTTATTTTTATTAAATGGCAACTATAATAAAAATTCCGTAAATAGATGGAGTATTTGTTAAAATAAATTTCGATGTTGAGGTTTTTGATTTCCGTCGGTCCGTTGACGAGATATTCCACTGGATTGGAGGAGAGTAGTGGAGTATCATTTGTGTGTCGCGCGGCGTGTTAGTAATGAAACACTACTCTCATCCAACCCAAACTTAAAAGTGGACTATATCGTTAACGGCTTGATAGAAATAAAAAATGTTAACACTAAAACGTATTTTAACTAATACTCCATCTGTTTATGGAGTTTTTAGTATAGGTTGTCATTTGAAAATCAAAAGTAGGTAATGGTTTTACCTTCAAAAAAAAGGGTGAAAAAAAATTATTTAAATTTAAAACTGTTAAGCTGCTTGTTTCTTAGATGTTCGAGAAAACAAATTCCAAAAAAAGTTAATACATTCCGGGATAATGAGTGCATCCACGTAAATGGATCACCCGGTATATACGCGTATAGTTTACGTTTAATTGTGTACCTTGGAAATTTCGGACGGCCGGCTCGTCGTCGGCGCCTTCTTCCGGCCGGTATTGGACGCGCAGAGCGTTGAAAAACCGCAAAATACTCGTCGTCGAATCGCCGTCATCGACGTTCTCGCGAGGACGGAAATTACCGTCGCCCGGGGCCGCGGTCCCAACGCGATCCAACGTGACCGTCAGGTATCTGTTTAGGCGGTATGTCTCGTTTTTCTTTATCACGTCGTCGATCGTCCGGGCCAGGCACCCGTCGAAATCCACCGACCCGCAATCGGACACGAACGACAGCGCGTCAAGGAAAAACCCGTCGGACGGCCGGGCGATCTTCGCCGCCGAAATAACTGCGAACGCGTATAGCACACGCATTCTCGAGTCTCCGATGCGATATAATAAAAGACGAACACCCGCGAGACGGGCGGTTTTATATATGCGGTCCGTACGCAAATCCGCGTAATTATTATTATTTATCATCTCGCGTAACTGTGTACAGCGAACACCGAACATATTACAACATTAAAATGCATAGAGGCCTGCTGCAACGACGCGTGTAACATTATAGTAATGATGATAATTTTGCGGTTAAAAGCGTTTAGATCGGCTACGCCGTGTGTCGTTTGCGTGCGATACGCAGTGTCGTTCATATAAAAATGCAAATACCGCACGGCGTATACCCATTATACTTAGGGAGTAGTTTGTACCGAATCGGTCGACCGTATTCCGCATATAGTTTTGCCTATTAAATTATTATAATGTCCGTATGCTACACATTACACATTTAAAACCCCCGAAAATCCGACGAGAAACAATATTGCGTGTTTAAAGTTTTTAATAATATATATAGAACACGACGATCGACTTGCCAAAAGAAGACAAAAAAAAAAAAAAAAAAAACGTTTTCTATAATATTATGGTCCTCAATACAACGTGCGGATTTGAGTTTGAAAAAAAAAAAAAATAACGACAAAAGACTGTGCACGCGAGCGCGCGCGCGCGTTAAAGTCTCTGATGTTTATGTATTATACCTAATAATATACTGTATTATATTATGCACTAAATAATTGTGTCATGAAACAGGAAAAAAAAAATTGTAGACGGCTCTATTATTACTGTACGACACGTCACTGTTAAAATATGCTTAAACGCTACGATCACACGAAAACAAAAAAATATTATGTTTATTCGTCGACCACTGTCCGCACGTTCCACGGATCATACGCACATACTTATTTATAGACTCAGAGAAATATCTAAGTAAAATTGAAAATAAGTTAGGTTAAACTAACAAAAAATGTGTTAACATACGTTCAACAAACTATTTATTGATACCACAAATCAATCGTTATCCCTATTAGTTTATTCTAACAAACGTATAGGTAGGATTAATGAAATTGTGTAGTTAACATTATCAGACATACACTATTATTAATAATCCCGGATCGACTGTTATAAAAACAATCCGCCTTGTTATTGTTACCTACTTATGATAATACACTATAAATACGAGAAATAAAAATGCAAACAAATGGGACTGCGTTTTCACTACCGCCAAGTTTCGAACCCGAGACTCTAACCATTTCACCTTACGTCTTATCCATCTGAACGTTTAAATTGATTGCAGATGTCCAGCTTTTGAACTTGGCAGATTTCTCAAACCATCATGGTAGCAACTGTAATTATTTTCTATTTTGGTATTAACCTCTACTTTTTCGTCATGAGTTATTATTATTTATATTTATAGTTACATATATAAAACTTTCCATATTATATGTTTTATTGACTCAAGGTGGAATACACTCTCCTAAATCTGTGGTTTTCTACTTCTATTACTCTTACTATACCTATTATGTTTATAATCTGGCGAAGACATTAATTTGTAAACTGCAGTGCGATAATACGTTATAATATTATTATTATTGTTTATACAGAGTGATTCCGTTTATCATGGACCGGCGATATTATATCTATACGAAGAGATTTTTAGTAAATTCTAATTCGATTACATTTTTCAATTTTTCTGGAATCATTTATTATCTTATTTAAGGATAATATTTTTAAAATTTAACTCTCATAATTTATACACTAGGAACAATAAACATACGATGTTGGCTTTTGATTTTATCTACGCAAAGTCAAGGAGATATGATAGGGAAATTGATAAAGAACAATATAATTGTATATAAATTATATTTATGTGTGTGTTACGGCCTTTTTTAAGAAGTAATCGACACTTAGGCATTGTATCACAATGTCTGAACATTTTAGGCAATGTAAAATAATCATTAAAATACTCCAATTTTCCCTACATTGACTGGGTATAGAGTGCCCGGGAAAAGTGTACACTGCCCGGATTCAAGTGGGCAAAGTGAATAAAATACAGTGCATACTTATATCGAATAGCGTTTAATAAGTACAGCAACACCTATAGTCTATAAATATCTACGTATACCAATTTTATTTGTTTAATATCGCAATTTGTGCTGATAGTGATTGCTTATCGCGTAACGTGTTATTCTATTGAAGGTTGTTTGTTTTCACGTCAATTTTCTAGAAATTAAAACGGCTATTACTCAGAAACTATTCATCGGACATTATGAATGTATGGTACATTAAATTGTTCAGAATAATATCTTTAGAAAATGTTTAGTTTTAAACATTTGAAAAGTGAAAAATTAAGTAATTTTTTTCCAGCGATTAAGGGATGAAAAAAAAAAAATTAGTTTACTCTACACATGTGTCCCACTGACCAAAAACCCGATCGAAAAAAAAATATCTACATATTATAAAGTTATAACATTGTACGACATCCTATATAATCACCCTATATAATATAGTATGAATCGTGTGCGTGATAAACGAATATTGTATGTACCTATATAATATATATTATATAGGCGTGTGTTTATTATATTTTGTTAGTAAAAAAAAAAATAAGTGTATATAGGCCTCCGTACGAACAAGCGCATGTCAATAAGTATACTATTTGACAGCACAAAGCGCTTTGAATATTTTCATATTATTATAAAAAGTAACCGAGCGTTTTGTCCATCACCGAACAGTGAAAAATTGATATATACCTACTAATATACATTATACGTACATTTTTTTTTTTTTCAAAAGATTAAGATTTTTCGTAATTTTTTTTTTAAAACCGATTTAAATAAAATTAACGTCGATATGCAATTGTATTCACACTACTTTTATTTTTCGACTTGAAATAGACACGCCAAAAAGTAATATTTATTACATGATATCGTACGTATATACACTTGTCGAGTCAAATTGTACAAAATATATAAATATTGTCAAAATCTACAATAAGTACATTGAAAAATGAACATGGCTCAATCAAATGCCAAATAATGAGATTTATTCAAAGGTAGACTTTACTCCTTTTTTTAAAAAAAACATGTTTACTTAAATTTTGAATCATTTGAAAAAAAATGTAAAACAAAATATATTTTTTATTATACTCCACGTCAATATAATTACAAGTTATCAGGATGATTCCAAGTAGCACCATCTGTCGAACATTTTGATTTTGAAATATTAATATCAGGTAATTTTAATATACATATAATATATATTTCAAAGTAAAACAAAATGGTGAATTTTGATGGCTAATGAAAAAATGTTGTTATTTGTTAATATGCAAATATGTAATGACACTTACTGGACAACCCAAAGTTGTAACCGGGGCTTTAAAAGATCCTGACCCTTTTGAAAAATGTTCAAAATTCTAATAAAAGTTTAAAAAGTGATTTGAAAATTTGGACTTTTCGGGTTAATTATTTTCTAGAAGAGTAAGGCAAATACTATCCACCCCCTGGATATGTTAATTGTTTTATTTTGTATTATTTTACGTATATTTAACTATAAGCGATCTTGTAAAATATTCGAGTAAAAGTACTTAAGTAAATGCGTTTAAATACTTTTTAGTATTTTTATGTGGACACTTTTTCTCCATGTTCTCTAAGTAGTACTTTAAAGAGGTTATTTTTTGAAATTCCAATTAATATTTGATATAATGAGGAAAACTTGGTTCTTAAGGTTAAAAAAATTTGAAAGATTAAAAATAAGGTTGTCATTTGTAACCGTTTTTATTTATTTTTTGTTAGTTTTTATTATTTTAAATTTTTTTGATACAGTCATTGTTGCAATGGAAACGCACATTTTTGTAATCATTTTACCATAATACGACATATATATTGTTGACAAAGCAGCACTATCAACTGAACTCCGCTCAGAATTGTTTCTTTCTTTAGCAATGGTTTATTGTTGCTTACAGATATACATTAAATTCCTTTCTGTATCCTACCTTCTCAACTTCCCACCTACAACAATGGCTGCGCATACGTACGAAGTAAGTCCGTTCTTTTTTAAATTAAGTATTTGAAAAGTATTTTAAATACTGTATTTGTATTTGAATTTAAAATACTTCCATGTAAATACTTTTCTTAATTCAAGAATTTAAAACTATTTGTAATTGTTTAATACTTTAAGTATTAAAATTATACATTATAATTTACATTCCGTGATTTGGATTTAGTGATCATCCTCGTTTTAAACCATGGAGACAAAGTCAGACAAACGCAAATTAACAGTGTAGTGACGAATGAGATAGAAATAAAACTATTATGGGATGCTTAAAACATACATTTTCATATTAATACTTTGAAAATACATGCTGCCTAAGTGTAGTACAACATTTCACCAAAGCTCGACAATTTACTCAACTTAAGTAACTGAGTAAGTTACATTTACTTTTCTAGGTTAAGAGACTTAGTTTAAGTTTCAAGTTCTTAAATAAAAAAAGTAATTAGTTAAGTACTTAAGTTGCTAGTTACTAATCAATAGTTTACCAGTTAAAAGCTTACAAGTTTCAAGTTTAAGTTACTTTTTACATTTTTAGATTACGAGGGTAGCGAGGGAGCTATTGGTTTTACTAAGATATTTCTTTCTTTTTTTTTTTTTCTAATCTGTGGACACGTTTTTTCCTAGTAAATTTCCTTCAATATTTACGTGTAGCAACTTTTCTGATAGATCAAGTTGTTTAAATTGTACTCTAAACAGATTATTTTTTGATTTTCGACGCTATTTTTTAACTAAAAGCACTTAAGTAGAAAAAAAACGTAAGAAAACGAACAATTTCACGATTTCATTATCTTATAAAAATACAGTTGACGTGTTCTACCAAAAAAAAATGATTTAATCGAAACATCACAAAATTCATTATTTTTTGCCTTCTTGATTTAATTTCTTACGGTATTATTTTCAAAACTTTTGAATCACTTTTGAGCTTTTAAGAAATTTTAAATTTTGGAAGTTTTTGCTCTAATTCGGTTATAAATATACGTAGAGAACTTGAA